TTGAATCATATGATGACTTAGTAAAGTAGATAAGTTGTCATACTCCTAAATAGTAGATTGTGAGTTCAAAACCTACTAATAGTGAAATTTGGATAATCACTTATGTAATATATAGACAGTATTACAGCAACAGCATTCTGTTAATAAGTTGAGATAGGATACCTGTAACTATGGTCACACTAGCATGACTAGCAGGTCTAAGATATCTATATAACCTGTTATACAAACTGGTACTGGGTAGTATAAACCTAAAATAAGTCCTTAGGCCATATAGATCTATAGAACTAGAAAGCCAAAACCAACTTAGAAATTCTGAGCAGAGAGGTAACATAGATCTTTAACAGTACTACTATAAAAACTAGACCTAGAAAATAGATACCAATATAAAAGATTCAGGCAGACAAAAACCTTAAGTGAGAGGTACCACCAACCAGGTTGCCAGATTTTGGACTAGAAAAAAAGAATATTAAGTTAGTTTCAATATACCAAGAACAGGTTATAGTCTTTTCAGACTATCTGAATTGGGATTCTGGGTTCAAAGCAAAGGTATACTAAAAGTACTAGAAATATGCTATGAAGTTAATACTGGGATCTGAGTGAATTCTGTAAAGGTAGCCTATGTTAGTGTTATAAAAGTAAGTAAATAGTTAACAACAAGAGGCCTCCTGTGTCTTACTAACAGGTGATGTATTTTGAAATATGTAATAGTCTGAAAATTAGTATAAAAAAAGTAGGTAACTATACTGTTAGATGATATACTGGTTAGGTATATATAGAGAATATATTGGGAATTTCAATATAACAGGATAAATAATCAGAGAGTTTAAATGGATAATCTCCTAGTAGGTTATAGATACAGCATCTAGTGTAGAACCTTAAGTGAACTACTTAAATAGGCAACTAAAAGTTGCACATATGACTAGCTGTACTCTCATCTATGTAAAAATAGTTGTAATAGCTAACCCAATATAAGTTAATAAAGTATCACCACAAGTATGGCCTTTAAAAAAAAAAAAAAAAAAAAAAACTTCTTTGAATCTTCAAATTACTGTTAATCATTATGAGCAACCTCTAAATTCAATTTCTCTTAAAATGCAACTTTAAATTCTGATTTGAATGTATGATTGATCTTTATTAATGTAAGTTTTTTTAATTATTCTCTAAATGCATATTATTAAAACTTTAATTTTAGTAAATTGCTAGAATGTGTTAATTGTATATCAATAAAAATATATATGTTGTATTTTAGACTAATATCTGGTTTAGATCACAGCTAATATACAACAAATGCAAATTGTTAGATAAGATATGTAAAGTCATCAAAGTTGTAATCTGAAAAAAAATAAAATAAATTGAATATGACCTTTTACCTGAATTCTCTTTATTTTGGGTTTCTTAAACCTCTTTATTATAGGTTTTGTATACCAACTTCATACAAACAGACAGTCAAATTTGTACAAACAAACAGTCAAATTCATACAAACAGACAGTCAAAATTGTACAAATTGACAGTCAAATTCATACATAACACTTTTAATTAAATTGCAATATCTCATGATTTAGTAATTTAAATTATGTAAATTTGGTACCATTTGATTCATCAAAATTAGATAAATCAAATAGTACCAAATTTACATAATTTAAGTTACTAGGTCATGAGATATTATGATTTAATTAAAAGTGTTATGTATAAATTTGACTGTCAATTTGTACAATTTTGACTGTCTGTTTGTATGAATTTGACTGTCAGTTTGTATGAATTTGACTGTTAGTTTGTATGAAGTTAGTATGCAAACCTGTATTTTTCTCACTGGTAATATTCTTACTTTAATCACTTTTGTTCCTTTTTAACTCCAGTAGTATTCTATATTTTGAATCACTTTGAAATCATCATATCTTCAATAGCATTCTTGAATCTCTGGTATTTTACAACCAACAGTAACATTCTTTTCATCTCTTATCTCTCTGTTCTTTTTGAATTTATTTGTTGCCACATTCAATTTTCCAATTAATATGTACATTTTTTTCTATACAAATAGTTTTTTTTTGCCTAAATTTTCGTGGCATATTCTTTCTAAGTTTTTCAGCACTTTCAATCTTCAATAATTTCTATGCATATAATTTTTTTTGTGCTTATTGACCGATTGATAGCTTACGCACCTCAACAATCTATTTCTGAGATACGTCAGCTGTAATATGATGCAGGCATTAGTCTGCGACACAACATATACAAGGTTTTAAAAAAGCATAATTATAAATTGCATTGGAGAGCACCATTTCAATTAACTAATCGATGTCACAAATTAAAATGAAATCAAAATTTTACATTTATACTTAACCCTTAAATTTGCATATAATGAACCTAACTTTAAATCATGCTAAACAAACACATTAAAATTTTTTTGAGAATTTATGTATAAAAACACGAAAATAAAAATAATGCAAATAAAAAGCCCAAGTGAAAATGATTACATAATATTACAATCAAGGGTCTAAATTTATTGTAATTAATTAGATTTAACATTTAAAATTACATATGATTTTCTTTTGACAGTTAAACGTAATACTTTTTAATCAGTATTGCATTTATTTCCTTAGCGTCTTGCATGCAAACATAATAATTCCTTTTGTTAATTTTTAAAAGTAATTTAATTATCTCTACGAATATAAATGAGTTTTTATGATCCTAAATATCTTCGATCAATGCGTAGCAAATAACAAATAGGATTTACTGGTTTTGGTATTGTTACTATTGTAAATCGTGAGAGCGGGTAACGTAGTATAGTTTAGTCCCAATAGTTAACGTGATACTGGGTATAATTGTTTAATTATTATTAGAGAAAGTACTATCGGTAGGATTCGATATACTATATTTGGCTAGGTTGATAGTAATTGATCGGAAGAGGTGATAGTTTACGGTTATCGGGATTGATTTAATTAAGAGTGGCGTGAATCTTAAAGATATTTTTAAGAACGATTTATATAAACGATCATAATACATAATTAATGGAATCACTACGTAATTTATCGATTGCAATAAAATTCCTATAGGCGGTCTTTCTTAAGAATATTAAACTTTATAACTATATAAGATACGGCTCCTATTTATTCAGGGAAAGGTCTATTCAGCCTCAATGCTTACTTCCTTTATGTTAAATAAGAGACCCAGCGTATACTTATATGCAAGAATAATGTAGCATAATAGGGAAACGATACTGATTAGACGAAGTTTAGATAAATTAATGTGATATTTTAAAGACGGTATAGTATTTTATTTTGTCTTTAAGATTTTATTCTTAACTTAATTCGCAACTGGTCCTTTTTGGAAAGGAAAAAAGGACCTATATTTATACAATTTTATTCGCTAAGGCTACTCTTAGTAATTATAAGCTAAAGTCGTTGATATTTTTATGAGCAGTCGCTTACTCTTTTGTGAACAGTTTCTACGTCCATCCTATGGTAACACGAAGCCACACTGCTCATATTACTAATCTATGGCTTATCCGTAGCCCCAACTGCTCATTTTAATGTTTATATGCGTTTCTTAAACGTAAACAAGGGCATGAGCAGGACGAATTACAAACAAATAACTATATACAGGTATAAATGAAATAATAAAAAGACTATATAAATAAATAAATAAATAAGAAAAGATAAATAAAAATAAGAAAACTCGTGATTTAGAACGGGGTAGGAATCTACAATTCAACAGTATAGGATAGACTTATTAGTTTAGAACCGAATCAAAATTACAAATTTGATAAATATCGAGCTTAACATAGTCGAACTGTATTTTGGTTAAAACAAAGTGTCATTAAACAATAGATATCATATAAAAGTATAAAGTAATGACGTTCAAAGAACTATCACATAATGCAAAGTTATTTTAGCCCTTAATTGTAAAATTTTTCAAAATTTTGACCCTTAGGTATAATTATTTCACTTTGGGCCCCTATACATGGGCACAGGAAATTAATGCATGTATAAAAAATACCAGATACATTTTTATGCGCTGGCACTAGATACTAGCGATTTGGCACGATACCAATGTGATTGGTATAGTAGTTTATTATATTTCAATTAATACATGATGATATATATCTAAAATTGAGACCATATATACAGTGTTTCTTCAAATAATTAACCATTTAAATTCTTGTCTTATTTTTTTAAATCGATAGTCATTGATTATGTTATTGTTTGTTTTTAATTGCACTATCACACATCGAACCATTAACCGATAATTCATAGCAATAAAAGTAAACCTACATTTATCTATTATCATTACACCGTCTTACCGACAAATTTTTCTACAAATTGTCATGATTTATCAGTAATCGAGTTATCAAACTATATTCTATATCATGATTCATTTTTTGATAGTGAATGGTGTAAGGGACAGCATCCTACATTAACAAGTTTTGCCGACACATGACGCATGGCCAAACAATGGCACAGGTGTCTAATGCCTGACTAAAGAATTCTGAACGCATATTTAGGCACTGGTAATGAGCACTTGCTTTTGGCACAATATTTATACGCCGGGTACTGGCATTCGAAGGCTCCTAATTAATACTTTGTTAGACTTTAAATGTAATCAATTTATTAATATTAGTCAATCATCGACTTTTCAGCGTCAAATTATATATATATCTAAACTCTTTTAATCTAACCTAAAGCTAACCCTAACCCCTAAAACTAAATTTATTTACTTGTAATAAAAAAATTTATAATATCGGGTGATATCACCTAGGGTGAAAAATAATTATAATCAATAAAATAAAATACAAATAAACCAAATTATCCTTGGTCATTATGTCAAGATCTCAGTTATACCCAACTATATATGATAAAACTATGACTAAAATACAAGATAACTAAATATAAATTTTAAGCTTAAAGCAGTAAAACAGGGTTTAAATGGTTTGTTTTTAAAAAAATTAAAGCGAATGGTATTCGAGTTATTATTAAAAAGAAAAATTCGCACCTAGACCTTTGCACTAGGAATATGAGTAAGTGTAATATGTTAAACGACGTTTTACAGCTGATATTACTACTCCAATGATAATAGCGATTAAAACAATAGCCATAACGCCTAAGGCAATAGCATAACAAGCCCATGGCCTCTATTTTAAACATATAAGAAAATATTAATATATATATTGAAAGGTATTTTTATAGTCTCTATTTTAAACATATAAAAAAAAATATTAATATATATTTTGAAGGATTCTCAAATGTATTGTTAATTACCTGTATTTCGCGTTGTTTTAGACCACAATTAGAACATATAAACCTCTCATCCATAAATGCATCAGATACGCACGGCCACCAGAATAAAGGAGGACAAACACAACATAACAAAGCCCCGGCAACGTAAGATCTTACACCCGGATAATATTCAATTATAGGAGGCAAAGTACTATTGCAATGTGGACAAACATAACCAGATACAGCAGCAGTAGACGTACTGGATACCTGAATGATTGGACTGAAAGTAGGACTGATGATTGGATTGACTGTATTTATATTCGATGGGTTGTTAGTATTTGTATTTGATGGATTGGTAGCATTTGTATTTGGTGGATAAGAAGCAGGAGGTGGATAAGAAGCAGGAGATGGATAAGAAGATTGAGAATATGAAGGTGGAGGATAATACGGTTGTTGCATTGATGGCAGCTGCATTGATGGCAGCGTAGGTTGCTGCATAGATGGCAGTGTTGGTTGCTGCATAGATGGCAGCGTAGGTTGCTGCATAGATGGCAGCGTAGTTTGCTGCATAGATGGATGCATAGGTTTCTGCATAGATGTCTGCATAGGTTGTTGGACGTTGTCAGGATTGATGTTCATTTGAAACGAACTCGTATCTATCGTATTCGAAGTCATTTCTGAGACTTAAAATTACAACAAAAGTGCTAACCATTTTTCTTAACCAGCTGTTTAAATATATAGCTGCAATATCCATTTTTTTTATTATATTAATTGATAATCTATGATGCAAAATTGGGTGATATATCTATACTCCATAATTCATCACAGTTTGTTAGATGTAATACTAAAGTTCCGTATTTGATACATTTCACACTTTAAAACCAGAAACGTAATGTTAAAATTTATACATTTGTGTAGTAGTAGTACCAGGGATGGAATGTTATGTATAGCATAACACAAAGGAGATGGGCAATTTTATGATGTGTGAACGCAAAATCTTTAATCCGATTGGCTCATAATTCGGGCGGAGTAAAATGTGAAGTTTTGCGCTTAAAATTTCACCTGTGGCAGCATCACATGGTTTATTTATTTATTAATATGCATGTACGTACGACGAATACTGTATGCGAATCGTATGATTTAATCATATGATTTAATCATGTGGTTTTTTCTAAGTGTTTCTAACGCTTATTATTGTGAGAACACATAAATTTTAAAAATTTGACTACTAACGTGTAATAATCTTTTTTTTATTATACAAAATCAATTTTCATAGTTTGAATAAGTTAGCACCTTATATATATCCGATCATTTCCATTTATATTCGTGCTTGGGCATGTGTCTTCTTTCTTATTAGTTCTATTTTGCTCGTGACCCGCCATATTTCCTTTTTAATTAAAATAGTAATCGTTATAATATCTCATCGCACTATCTGAGGGGTAACAAACTAGCTGAGTAAAATCCTTATTAAATAAATAAATTTACTACTCAGTAACATATGTTAAAATAACTAAGTGGCATATAATTTATATATAGTATGTTGGCTACGGTACGATTTCCCGAAAGTTATTTTTACCCAGCAGGCCACTTGCTTGACATCATAAGTGCGACAAAGTGCTAAAAATAAATACCTGCAGCTGATCTCTTGCGAATTCTGAGTTAACTTATAACAGATAAAGAATTTAACAATAATTTATAAATAGCATAACTCAGTACTTTGAACATCATATAATTTTGATTTATATAGTACACTGTGCACCCTAATTCAATATACTATTCAATACTATCATATGACTTACTTTATAGAAACTTTTATTTTTTATTTTTTTTTGTAGTTAAGATGAGGTTTTTCTGATATCTTTATTAATTTGTTAAAGAAGCCTTCAGTGGTTTTTCTGAATATAAATTACAAACTTATTCTAATTAAAATATATTACAAGGATGGAGTTTAGATTATAGACAGATTTCTATCTAATTTATCTGCAACTTAAACCTATTAGAGTAGTTAAAACTCATCTAGATTTGATAGTATAAGATATAGTTTATGAAGTAGTTATATAGTATTTAGTGTACAGATCAAAGATCAATTTTGCAAAGTGTGTATTCTAGTAGTAGGCAGTTATTATTTTAAGTATAAAGTTGATTAGATAAATTACATAGTTAGCAAACTGTATAGTGTAAGTTGCAATCTTGATTGAAGATTTTGTATGAGTTGTAGATCTGAAATTTGATAGAATTTTGTTATTTTTTTCTATTGTGCTAGTTTAGTAGCATAGAGTTTTCAGATATAATTATATATTTCTTATAATATTTTAGTAAGCAGTTTGGTAGTTACTGAAGTTATTGTTTATAATAATATAATATAAGGTCTAATTGTTGTAATTATATATTAGTTTGTTTTTATTAAATATTGTTAAATAATAGACTATTGTATTGGTTTAATAAATAGTGTAATTATTATTTTGGTTATGTAATATTTAATAATAAGTTACTAATAATTTTAGAAATTATTTTTGTAATAATACTGATAAGATTTGTTAAATTAGAACATAACTACTAGTATAATTAATGTTTTAGTATTTAGCAACTTATGTAGTTATTATGTTAGAAACTGTTTAAATATAGTTTATAATGATGATCTAATATTAGTAAGATATTAATTAGTATTTTAATTTTAAAAAAATTATCTTAATTAAGTAAGAAGTTAGTATTATTATTTATTTGCTTAATAATGTTGTTGAGATATAGTTAGATTAATTTGTAATAATAATAAATAATATTTCTTATATAATATTATAATAACTATATAGCAGTTATATATACATTACAAATATTTAATAGCTTGTTTAGTAGGTTGTTTAATTATGTATTTTTTATATTATAAGATATATAAAGTATTATATAACTTGTTATGTTTAGATTAAGATATACAGTAAAGTTGTAATTTGTTACTAATTTGTTAGCTTTATTATTAAATATATTGTTGTTATATGCAAATACTTTGCAAATAGTAACTGTATATTGTTAGAATTTGATTGGATAAAGTAGTAAATACCAAATAGACCAATATAAATAAGAATATTGTTTATATACTGAAGTTAAATTATTGGTAATTTGTTGTATTTTGAAATAATTAATTAAAAGTTTGTTTTTGTTTTTTTTTTATTTTAAAAGTAAGGTTTGGATTTGGTCTTTATTAAACAATTTGGTATTACATTAATAAAAATAAGTTACATAAATTATTACATAAACCTATAGCTAGGACCAATTTATTCTTAGCCTAAAACTCTATTAGAGTAGGCTGTTAGACCTCTTTTAGATTTAGTGTTGCAATGTAGAATATAGATATGTTAGTAGTAAAAAAAAATAGTTGCCTATTTTTGCATATTTTGTTACAGCTGCTTGGTCTGTGACTGGGTGTTCTGGAGTTGTGATTGTTAGTATATTTGTTAGTAAGTTGTTTTGGTGCACAGCTTTGCATTTTTTTGTTAATATTTGTTTGTGAATGTTATTTAAAATTTTATAAAATAGAGTAACAAGCATGTTTAAATTGATATTGCTAGTTGCAAGTAAGTTGTTTGGAATTAATCCTTGCAATCTAAGAAGATTATATATATTGTTTAATGTTTGAAAGAGTTGTTCTAATAAGGTAGATATATTTTGTAGTTCAATTTTGTTTTTAGTAAAGAATTTGAAGGTAGTTTGTTGGATTACTTGATTTAAAAATATAGAATTTGCTGTATATTTAAGCCAATAAGAGTTGTTTTTGATATGTAAGCAGTGATTGCAAATAGAATTAGTGTATGTTTTAGGTTTTCTGTAGTGTAAGTTTAATAAAGTTGGTAGCTTATCTAGTAAAAATTTAATTTTGAAACTTTTTAATTGTAAGTATTTGAGATAAGTAATGCAGATGTTAGGTTTGTTGTTATAGTTAAGAAATTTGTATATTGAGTCCCAGTTGGTATCTTCATAAATATCATTCCAGTGTTTAGTTCTGTTAAGAACATGCTATTTTGCTGTATTTGTTATATTTTGCAAGTGCTTAATAAAATGATAAGTTTTGTTTTTAAGTAGTATATTGTTTCAGATAAAGTAAAAACTGTTATTGTCAAGTATATGAAATTGGATGTGCAGTTTGTATTATTGTATATTGGTAGACTAGTAGATTGTTCTATAATATAAAGAGTGGTTGTTAGGATTCTCAATATAGGTGCCTTTGATTTTGATGCCTTTGTGAACAATTATAGTCTGTAGTAGTAGTTTGAGTGGTCAATAGTTATGTTTTTAAAGGGTAAGAGTAGAATTTGGTGTTGGTGCAAGAAGGGAGTTAATGTAGTTAATTGTTGATTTATGAGTCATATAGACTGTTATTTGACAATTATATAAAGCTATCATTAGAATTGTTATAATTCCAATAAGATATGCATATATTGTGAAGGGCTAATGTGTAATTTGGGATAAGAATGTTATATTAGTTGGTATAAAAGTTCAGGTGAATTAAGCCTATAACTGTAGTGTATTTGTTTGGATTATAGTTGCATAAAAATATAGTTGAAGTTTTTTGGTCTGTGAGTTGATTGTTGTAAGATAAAATAGTCATGTAATGGCAATACTTAGTATAAATGTTTGGTATAGCAAATTGTTTTGAGTCATTGAAGTAGTAGATAGTTGTGAGTTTTGGTAAGTAGCTAAGATAGTAGATAAGTGTTGAGGTAATGTTTTTTTTTTAATTATAGTAAAGTCTGTGTATTAAGTTTATAGTGATGCTGTATTAGATTATTAATATCTGTTCAAAGAACCTTGTGGCTAAATACTTTAATCACAATGTACTAAAATGTGATAAGTATGATTATGCATTTCTGGTTAATATTAGCAATACAGATATGTTTGCATTGAAGGCATTTAGCAAGTGGTGCTTTGTGCTGTAGTTTAGATAATGGCATTCAATAATGTTTTATATATATTGTATTGTTTGTATTAAATGATTTTGTATTTTTCCTATAATTAGTGTACTTTTAATTTTGCTAAAAACCTAGGCACTTCTCTTTAGTACTATAGAGTTTGTAGTAAATGAGTTGGAAGTAATAGTAGGAATATATGATGTAGTAGTTGCATAAAAGTTCCTGAAACTACTTGAAAATTTTTTTTCTTGATATTTTTTGTGTTTTGTATATAAACACTGCCATGAAAAAAGCTGTATATTTGTGTAATTAGTAAGTTGTTCAATAGCAAAAATGTTTGCTTTGTTGGTTAGTGATTTTATTTGTATTAGTTTAGTACAATATTTTTTTAATATATTAATTAAGGTGTCTTTGTATGTAGTTGGTATTAGTCAGAGATTTGAAAGGTTTTAAATATGAATTTTAAGTTGGTATGCAGTTCTGATAGTTTGGCCTATAAGTGTATTATAGAACTTTGTAGGTAGTATATAATTTGGAGAATATAAAATGTTATTAGATAAAAGTATTGCTTGTTGAAGATGTTGTAATAGAATTTTGATTGATGGGGCTGTTAGTGGATTATATAGTTGTATATGAAAAAAAGAGATATGTTTCTGTGTTTGAATGTTTATTAAACTGCATAAATTATATATATGGTAATAAAATATAATAGAGTTAGATATCATTGAGGCCAGTCCAGCTTTGTGTTTTGTAACTTGCATATATGAGTTAGTA